TTTATCCCATTTGTTTTTCTTTATTTACATTCAATCCAAATAAAAAGATATTTTAGAAAATTCTGGTTGCTGAGACTCCTGACTTCTACACTGTTTTTTTCTTCCTAAGGAAGTCAAGGGGCATTTGTGTTTAACAAGAGAAAGAAACTTGTAAAAGTTTAAAACCATATACTGTAAGGTAGAGTCAATGATTTTCATTTTGAATTCATTTTCATTTTTGGATGAGCTTTATCTGTATTTTATATAATAAAAGTCAATGTCTGCCAGTATGTAACAAGCTAAGGCTGGATTTTGTACTTATGCGTCGAGTGATTGGTGTGACCCACGGCGCATGCCTTGCACATATGCTTGCATTTATACTTCAGCGGGCTGTTTGTGTTGCTCTGCAATAACACTTCCGAAACACTAGCTGGCAGGTTGGGTAGGTTTTTATGTTCCTCTGTGTCAACTTTGACTGTGTCAAACAATGGGTGTTTTGTTGTACTATGCTATTAGTAGCTAAAACTCCCTCATTCAGAGGTGGGAACTGGCAGACGTGCTACAACTTTAATCATAAGGTAAACACAAATCAAAAGTTTCCAACTGAAGCTCCTTCACGGAAATCCACACTAGTAAATATTTGCTCCATTGGGCTTGCAGCTCTCAGCACCGTTAACACTAGTCAGCGCTACCAAACCGACCAATCACAAAGCTTGCACTATGCATCTTTGCAACATGTAATTTTGGATATGCACATAAAAAACGATTGATGGAAACACCAAGATTCGCATAAATTTTGAAAATGCGCATAACCGAGTAGGATAAACTTTTTAAGAAGTGCATAAATTACGATAGAAACACTTTTACTGAACAAATTCCAGTATGCGCATTTAAAAAGCTTGTGATTTTGCTATAAGAAATCATGTGATGATAAAAAAAGTGCGTGAATGGACAAACCAGTTGGCTGAGCACATTGTAAAACATCTAAAAAGTTGTTTTGGACATTCTAAAATGTCTTAACCATCTCAGTATTGGTGTAAATATATTAATAATTACCTCCATATCTGACAAGAGCCCCTGTGCTCCGCATCTCATGCCTTTAAACACCACCATGCATTCATTGCATGTTGGCATTGTCTTCTGAGGCACAAGTCATTTATCAAATAAAGAAAGTATTCATGCTGCTTCTACTGCAGCAAATTCAGTTTTTACTGTTGATATTTGGCGCCAGTTAATCAGGAAATTACAATTATGTTCTCTGACCACTTTCCTTATTCGCACTTTATTCGTCTTTTATGCTATATTCCAGTGTGGCGCATACATTTAATTCGCATTTTTGGCTGGAAACATGGCTACTGTCGGCGTCAGCCACAGTGAGGGGCTCTTGACTCTAGACAAATGCACTCAGAACATTTTGTAGAGTCTGTGAATTAAAAGATAAAATGGACTTTCTTGTTTCACTTCATAAGTCCTCAATGTTTTGTAAGGAGCCATGGTAATTAATTTTGTTTAGCCCATTTATTTATTTTATTGACTCTAAAAGTACCAATAGATATTGACTTGCATTTTAAGAATAACCAAGAAGCACAGTTTCAGCTAAAATCCTGTTTAATCTTCTACTGATGAAAAGTCACCTGCAGCAAACTTTCATTTTGTTGTGAACTACCCATTTAAGCACTATCATTTTTTTTTCAAACCTTCAACCATTTATTACCTTACAAGCCAGTAGGTGACAGAATAGCTGCAGAAGTGTGACGGCTCTAACTGTGGATCAACACTTCCACACAGACAACCAATCAATCATACCGCAGACATGAGCTCTCTATATATTAGCCCATTTGAAGCTTATAGCCCAAACATATGCTCGTTCTCTACACACTAACAGAGTAGGATATAAAAAAAAATTAGCCCTGAATCTCACTGCAGACTCTGAAGCACTTTAACTTTAATGTATTCTGCATTCAGAAATACTCCAGAGAGGATGTGGATTGCGCTGTCATCTAGCGTACAGACTGCAGTCCACTGCAGTAAAGCACGTAGGCCTGCTCTGCATCTCGCTTCAGCAGAAATCTTCAGGTTTAGGGAAGCCCCAGAAGATCTGTTTGCTTTCCCAACGTTGCTCACAGCTCCCGGATTGTACATGCTCGCTGAAATATGTACACAACACCTCACTATCCCACCAGAGGAAGACTTTATTTTGTGCCTCATATCTTCAGTGATCTATTTCTAGGAGGTAGAATGTTTTAGTAGATGTAGCAGGGCATTTGCAGGGAACTTACATCAGTTTTAGCCAACAAGTGTATCAATAATTGTTAACCAAAGCAGAGACGATGAGATCTAGTGATGGGAAAGGCGGATCATTTTACTGACTCTGACCTTTGAGTCTCGTTCATTGAGATGGTTCAATTTGCCAAAATATTATTAAAATGTTACGAGTTGCTTCCAAACTCATCTACAACTAGCCCAGACTTTGACCACACTACAAACAATTCATAACTAGAATGCTATAAGAAAAGGAGAAAACAATCATTTATTGTTTACCTGCTCTTTTGTCTATGATTATGTCAGCTCACTTCTTCTGACAGATCTTTAAATTTGAGTGGTTCGTTCACGTCAAACAGACCAATATAAGCTTAAACAATGCACACAGTTTGAGCCAAAACGAGCCATGATTAGTTCACCCTTCAAGTCTTCTGGTTTTTGAGTTGTTTGTTCATCATGTGACAGCATGTTAAGAGAGATGACTCAAACCCGAATACTCGAGAAATAAACGAATCAAATCGTTTTCCGGCTCTACATGCATATGATTGGCTTCTGTCTCTTAGGTGATGAATGAGCAGCTCAACATCGAAAGAAGCCTCGAAAAAGGAACTAATTTTCTGTTCAATGCACAATTGTGTGTATGCGCATATGAACGAATCACTCAATGAGTACTCATCGTTCTCGAGTCATACAAAGTATTCGTTCAAAATGAATGAATCGTTCAAGAACAACCCATCACTAATGAGATCAGGGGGTTTTGCATGCAGTTACTGGAACTCAGTCATGGGAATTATCTCAACAGCACAAAAAAATCCCAACAAAACATTTTCCTTCATTTTCCTCAAAACATTTGAGATGCATACGCTCGCTAAGAACTTTGAAGTAAACTGTCCAACAGTGACATCAAGTAGCATATTCATCTATAATAATCGATCAAGAACTTGTACTATGCTGTGATTGTGTCATGTTCTGTAATAATGGAATGCAGATGTATAAGTTACTTGTTTGAAACAACTAAAAACCTGTAGTGCTACATATCATTGAGGCTGAGAAAAGAACACAACATTGCAGGTAAATGAGTTAACATTAGCCTCATTATAAAAACATAGTGATATATATGTACATTTCTGGAGAGCGCCAAATATGTACCAGAAGCTACTTTTTTTTGCATTTTGCAGTTTTTGTTTTCGCAAATCCACCAGAGGCTGCTGTGTACGCTTTTTCAGATCTCAAGTTTCTCTCGCGAGTGCCATTCGTGCCTGCTGTTCTTCCTTAAATCCACCAGAAACCACTGCTGACTGACTGACTGTCAGTCCTTTCTTAAACCCAACCAATACTGTTTTCAAAAGCACTGATTGACCTGCCCACCCACTTCCCTAAACACAACTGACAGTTTAAAATGCAATCCAGAAAAAGAAAAGCCCTCGCTGGATTTTTACAACATTTTTCAGATTTTACCACATTCTCAATCTGTTATTTACATGTTTATTTTTTTTCTTTTGGGTTCTGTTTTTTTGTTACCCGCCTTCTGGAATTGTTCTTCGCCAGACTCGTACCTTGTTGTCTTGTTCAGGTCCTCTCTGCATCTCAAGTCCGCCATTGTACATGGTGAGCTAACTGAACAAACCAGTAACAGCAGGAAAGCCGTCCATTCATAGGTAAGCAGTCAGCTGGTAAATGTGAACAGAAATGGGTCATACCAGATCTTAGCGTTTATTTTAACGATGAGATGCAGCCATACGTAGTTCTGGCTACATAATTCACGCTCTCCAGAAACGTATATAGTGCTACGTTTTCAGAATTAGCCTGTGTTGCAACCCAGTGTGCTGACGTTTTATATCGCATGCAAAAATGCTCTGGTCTTTTTTTTTTTTTGCATCATTCTCCTCATCTCATATTTACTAACAAGTTGCTGTCAAGAAACATAAATAACTCCAGAGTCTTTCAGCATAAGTATTATGGAGGTGTTAGCCATCATATGACTTTATATGTAATTAAGGCCAGGCAGTAGAAGCTGTATGAGTAAAGCTCACTATTCTGACCTCATAAAGTGCACTATAGTGACAGATACTAGATACTAGAGTCTTTAGCATTCTTGTTAGCATGTCCCATGAAAAAACACTGATTTAAATGTTGCTCTGAGAAGTTTAAGTACAACCGAGAGGATTACAGTAGATTTACAGTGCTCAGCATTTATGAGTACACCCCTCACTAATCTCTCTTTTAAATTCATATTTTTAATAGGAAGCTATACAATATTTAATTTGTGCATATACATTATATTAGTCAGTACTGAAGCCAAATCTGGCAAGTGGTGCTCGCTGCAGAGCCATTTGAGGAGAGGTGAGCTCCAGAGAGGGGGAGCTTAAGCTTGAGCTCCACCTTTTTTGCACTTCTTCTACGAGTGATGTCACTGGGGGTAGGGTTAGGGGTGGGGTTGATGTACGCATTAAAACAGCTTACAGGAGGAGGAGCGACAGCTCATGCTCCCCCTCTCTGGAGCTCACCTCTCCTCAAATGGCTCTGCAGCGAGCACCCTCTCAAATCTGGTGCTCATCTAACAAAATAACTTAAGATATTGGTCCAAAAACTAGTACACCCAAATAAAAAAAAAAACTGGAAAAATCAAGAGCAGCAAAAAAATTGAAAAATTATTTGAAATTTTCTAGGTTGTAATTTGTTTTTGCAATATTTAGTTTTAAATTAATTGTATTATCATTCAATTTCTGAATATGTTTGGTGACTAAAATATTATTTTAATAAATATATCTGTTTTTTTAAATGCATCAAAATACATTGCCTATATTCACTGAGAAATATAGGGAGTACTCAGTTATGCTGAGCGCTGTAGCAACAAGTAGTGGTATGAATCAGAATTCCCATCACTTTCTAGAACATGGATATTTACAAAAATATTCTAGAAATATTGAATAAAATAAACACAATGTTTATAGGGATTAGTTAGAGGAAAAACAGAAGGGGAGACTATTTTAAACGGAGAATTTAAAATGACGTGGTACTGATGGATAAAAATAGAGTATGATGGAAAATGTACAGCTTATTCAAGCAAACTTAGAATAAATTTGGTAACACTTTACAGTAAGATTGTACTAGTTAATACATTTACTAACATATACAAACAATCAACAACACATTTATTACAGTATTTGTCCATGTTAATTAATTTATGTTAAGTCATAGTGCATTACTAATGTTAACAAGAATAAATTTGAATGTTCAGGCCTGTAACCAGGGGGGTTTCGGGTGGTTCAGAAGACGCACTGAGATCTACATTCTTATTATGTTTACATGTGTGTGAGTGAGGAAACTTGAATGAGCTGGCCAGTTTGTTATTTGCCTAATAAGTGACAATAGGGTACAGTTTTTAATTTAAAACCTTAACAAATTTCTATTTTCTGTCGAATGATATATGATGTATTCAATTTGTATTTAAAAAAATAAGTATTTTCATATTTCTTTAAATCTTTAGGAAATATTTTTGGTACATTAAAAAGTGTGGTTGTGATGACCAACCAACAAGCTAATTTGGCTAAAACTAGTGCTTAAAATGTCACTAAAATGCAGCATTTAAATCTCACAACTAAATAAAAAAATGAAGTGAAAAACTGCAAAAATATCAACTTTTTGAGAAAAAATAACCACCCTTTTAACAGGGTAGCTACAGGCCTGATGTTAATAACGCATTAGTAAATGTTGAACTATGTTAATTAGTAAATGCTGTACTATTGTTTATAATTAGTTCATGTTAGTAAATAAATCAACTAATCAAACCTTATTGTAAAGTGTGACCATAATTTCTTTTGATCTAAAGTTCCCTAAAGCGGAAGTTCCACCCACAGTTTAAAATGCAGTAGAAGTGTTCATTAAAAAAGTGTGTAAAAGCTGCTCCAAAGCAATCCTCAAAAACTGAAATGCACCCACAGCATCTGAATTTAAATCAACGCAAAAAGCAGAAACACAATCCAATCCATTCTAACTCTAACCATGAAAGACTTGGCAAGATGAAAAAAATCCTTATCTGCTTCCATCGGTCTGCTTTAAAGAAGAGAAAAATAAAATCAGTAGTACCTAAGGTAATCCCTCAGATATATGCATCAGTTACGGAGGCCCCGAGGTGGTAGTTTTCCAGCCATTTTGATTGACAGAATGTCCTCAAAGCTCCATCCTTGTGGTACAGCAAAGTTGACTTTTCACAACCAGTTTCGTTTCAGACAGTTAAATCTGAGAACACAAACTGGTCCTAAATAAGAATTCATTAATAAAAGGCTACATATCCATCACATGACAGTACAGCGATTCCTCTGCAGTGCGCCCTGGAGGCGGATGGAGGTGTGGTTTGGGCGCAGTCCTCGGGACACGGCTATTCCCAGGAGCTCTTTGAAGAGCAAGAGCACATGCCAATTGTATTTGGCAGAGCACTCGACGTAACCACACTTCCAGGTCTTCTTTACCAGTACAGACACGGCCCTGCGCTGGGTGAACCGTTGCCGCTGGAGGTCCCGCTTACTGCCTACCACCAAGATGGGCACTTCACTGCTGCTGCCCACTCTTATGGAAAAACACAGAAAGAGACAGGAAGGGGACAGTAGGTGAGGACAGCCATGTAAGAAATAGATAAAAAGGCACCTATTATTAGAGTTGGGCGATACAGCAAAAATATTATCACGATATGTTTCATATTATTCAGTATCGAAAATTATTGAGTTAAAAAAAAAATTAGGAATATTCTGAGTTTTTTTAATTTATTTAACCACTTTATTTTAATTTACCAACATTACTAAGCCAAATAGTTTTAATAGTAAAAAAACAAAAATATTTAAACAAAATATCTGATCTCTTTATGATAAAATAAACACAAGTGTTAAAGAGACTCCTAAACTTGATAAATAAAGTGTGTGCAATGGTAAAGTGTAAACGCTGAACAATCAAAGCAAACTTTAAGGTGTGAATAAGGTGTGTTGACTCTGTCAACAAAATAAATTATGATAATAATAATGAACCAGTATTCATATACATATTGCAACATTACAAATTGTCAAGTTGGATGACTATATTTCCCCTATGATAAAAATTATTTCAGATGGGGTGCTAGTGGCTGAGATGCACAATAAAAGAAACCCAAAAGCCACTCTGGCTATGGCAAGCCATTTTGACTTTTATTCATTTTCAGGATATATACTCTTGATATCAACAATTCAGCTCAAGTCAAAACGGCTGGCCATACTTTGATGACATACTGACATCATTATCATAAACAGTACTGAGTGAAAAGCAGCCCTTTTAACTTTGCTACTTTGCCAACGATCTGCATTTTTAGTTGCTCTTTTTAAAAAGAGGGCTGGGGAGCACAGTCTCCACTGAATTTAAAGCGACAGTCACCAAAATGCCCCAATTTGGATCAAAGCCTAAAATGGACAGTTTCAATACAAAAGCATTATTTATGGGGTATTTTGGGCACAAACTTAACATGCACACTCTAGGACAGTGGTTCCTAAAGTGGGGGACGCGGGGCAATGGCAGGGGGTTGGTTGGTGATTTTCAAAAGTTTAAATAATTTTATTAAACTATCATGATAATTACCATATTTTACACATAACCCACAGAAGATAAAAATATTAGTTAATAGTTATATTAAAAAACAACAACATGCAAATAAAAAGCCATCAACCTTTAATTTTTTTTATAGGATTGGTGTATTTACATTAAATTGAACACAGCAATAGCATCAGCTTCAGCAGACTGATTTTGCAGCACCATGTTAAACTTTCTGACACCTTTATGGCAATCAAATACATTACAAATAAATACAGGCCACGACTGAACATTGAAGATGATCTCCGTGTGGCCGTCTCCAAAATTAAATCAAGCCTAGACTTGTGCTGAAAACATTGTGCCCACTGGTCTCATTAGGTGAGGTTAACATTAAATTAAACAGATGAATACATGACCATATAAATTATAGCCTATGGTTGTTAGACTGTTGCACATTTTGTGTTGTCAATAAGCTCATGTTTATAGCGGCCTATTGTTGTGTGTGTGCAACATATGTATATTTATAACCACCTGAATGTGGGGGTCTCGAGTCACTGGCATTGTTATTTTGGGGCTTGCGGGCTGAAAAATTTGGAAACTTCTGCACCTAACCCTACCCCTCACAGTGATGTCACTAGCTCCATTGAGATCTCTGAGAGATACAATTTCAGCTTGCATTATAAAGGCTGCATCCAGAATTATTGCACTCTAGGGACATCAGACATGTTGTAAGAGGGGGTATAATAGATTTCCCTTATAAGTAATTAGTAAGTCAAACAAAAGAACCACGTGGGACTGGATCTGTTTCTTAAACGACATTTATGCTGGACATAATATTTGTTCATGTTTGAATGCTAATATATTCAGCAAACATGCACTGGCAAACACACACACACACACAAACACACGCACACACACACTAATTTGAAAGCCGCTTTGCTCCTTGACAGGCTTCATAAAAAAAAAAGCTCTGAGCTCATGATTTGTGATGGGGAATGCGTGATGTGTGTCCTTTCTCAGTGCTTAAATGCTCTTGAAGGTCACACACGAGACACACACACACACACACACACACACACACACACGGGTAATGAAGAATGAAAGCGTTTCATGTTCAGAAGGCTTCAAAGGCATTTTGTTCAATTGAAAAATGTGCAATAAATTTAATTGGCAGTTAAATGTGCACAAGGAGCTGAAAAGAAAGGTTCACTTTTATATTTAATTTGCTCAAAAAAAAAAGTCCATTGTGACATATGTAGAAAAAAAGGTAGAATCTACTGTATGTAGATATTAAATACATTTTTGGCCACTCAGAGCTCCTTTATATAATAACAAATTACGGAAGGGCTTCATGCGCAAACAGATTACATGGCATAAATATTTGAAACTCATTAAATGTAATTGCTGACCCAAGGCCATTCCATCTCATTCATTTTGACATTAAAAGGCACACTATTATTGCTACAGCTCCTACAGTGCAGACTCATTTCATTTCTGTGAAATACTGAGAATGTTTGCTATTATATGAGTGTGTTTCAGTACATTTCTAAAGACAGAAAGAAAAAGAAAGTGAGTGAGTAATATCAGCACAAAAGAGGTGAATAATCTGTCAGATAGACCAGTGGCATTGTGTTTCATAAGCCCACACCAATCCCTCATGCCTGTGTCTGGGCGCTTGTGTCATGTTTTACGCTGATTTATCCTCCTTTCATATTGTTTATCAGCGCTTTCTCAGTATGACTTCCCGTCTACCACCTCGCTATCTCTCAAACCTTTCAAGTCCATGTTTAGTCAGAGCACTGTTGTGAAATCTTCGTCTACCTCAGCGCTTTTTTAATAAAGCCTCTGTAGGTGTTTTGAGTCTACGTTCTGTTTTCTACCACATTATATATACGCATACAGTGGCGATCAAAATTTCTGCATGGTCTTATTTAAAGTCATACTAAAAGGAGAACAAGAGAAGTTTTTAAACACATTTCATGAGTATTCTGAAGCACAGCATGACTTAAATGTGATAACTGAGAAAGAACACTGACCGATTAGAGAACATTTGTATATTCATTACAATTATTTGTTTCAGTCTCTAAAGAGTAATAGTCACAGCAAGAGAAGTTGGATGTTCCAAATCTGTAATTTCTATAACATTGCATCTTTACAACTCGTTCAAGTCCCCCAGGCAGGATGTCCTCAAAAGGCAAATGCATGAGAGAACAATATAATGCTGAGAATCTCAGAAAATGCAGCTGGACTTGTCAGAGAACTTCCAAAGCTCGTCCAAAGTTCACTACAGTCATGAAAGCAAGATCAATTTATTTGGGTGTAATGAAAAACAATTTGTTCCTTGTAAAACTGGATGAAGAATGAACCCAAAGTGTGTTCAAAAAATGGTCACATGACAAAATTAATGTATGCATGTTCTTCCTGCATTCGTGTGGGTTTCCTCCGGGTGCTCTGGTTTCCCCCACTGGTACAGGTGAATTGGGTAGGCTAAATTATCTATAGTGTTTGAGTGTGTATATGAATGGATGTTTTCCAGAGATGGGTTGCGGCTGGAAGGGCATCCGCTGCTTAAAATCGTGCTGGTTCATCTGCTGTGGCGACCCCGGATTAATAAAGGGGCTAAGCCGAAAAGAAAATGAATGAATGGATGAATGACTGTTTATGAAAAGTTCCTTCCACATGCAGTTTCTTCGTCAGCCAATCATCTAGCAACTTACAAGCTGTTATTTGCAAGCAGCTTGTAATAAATGTAAAACAGAAACAGGTGTAAGTGTGTGGTGCATGAAAGGATTTGAGGTTCTTTTGGTGGCAGATTTGTAGTTCTTCAGTGATCTGTATGGACTAGATTACTGGTGATTGTGATACAGGCAAGACAATTGGCTCCGTCACACAGCAAGATTGGTAAAATCCTTGAAGCTAAAAACATTGTGATTATAAAATGGCCAGCCCAGAGTCCAGAGTTAAACCTGATTGAGGATCTTTGGAAATCTTTGGAGACAAAATTATAAATAAGAATCCCACTACAGTCAGAGAACTGTGGATGAAAAAAGCAAGATCAGTGCACATTGGGGGCAATTTTTGTTCGTGCTTATTTCTGAAATTTAATGCCTAAAGAAAGGGTGCCAATGTGAGTGTTTACATTAATGTAACGCCAGGCTTAAAATACCTATTAAAAAACACTTATGTTTTCACAGGACATGTTAAAACTGTTGCAGTACACAGGACTTGACTGCACTCATTGGGCTAAATGGACTAGGTAAGCACACATCCCTAACAATGAAGAAGATGCATTGAGGCAAGATGAAAGTGGAGCTGCTTGTAGCATTGGTTTCTGAACACTGAGCTAAGCTGTATGATAAAACACTGACTCTCTTCTTCTTTATCCTTATGTTCTGTGCCACAAATAATCATACAAATGGGCAGCACCACCTTGCGTACTGGTGTATTTCAGTTGTTCGTCAAACACTATCTTTTTTTGTGTGTTTTTTGTCTAAGGTCAAGAAGTGATTTTGCACAAGCTTTTATTTTGTTTAAGTGTCTTGGTTATAAAATTATAAATGCAAAACTTTAAAACAAAAAAAAGTACTTGTTATAGTCACAACTAAAATTTCTTTAAAGTATAATACATGTTATCATTTCTGGAAAAAATAATCTAGTAAAAACCTAGTAATCATAAATGCTTCTCTAATTTTGATCTCCACGGTATCTGCATGCATTCTCTACAGAATATATTTACTACATCTGAATATGATGATCATTAAAATGATTCACATTCTCTAATTAATGTCATTTCTACTCTAAGCACATGCAGCAAAAACCCTAGCAGCATCTGTAAAACAGAGATGTGAGTTTGTGGGTGGAGAAAAGGGGTTAAAGGTGGAGACTGCAGATGATTTTCTGTCATTTATTCAGTTCACATAAACTATGCAAATGCGTGATCCTGCACTCAGTATATGGGCACAAGACCTGCATATATAAAAGAGGTTTCACACTTGCATCTGTTATATTCCTATCAGCTGGAGTGAATGGTGACCGTGTTTATGCTCTGTAACTGTCACTCATCCATATTCTCAAATGTCACCTCATTATCTCAGCTTCAGCCGGGCAAACAAGGGCCAACTGTTATTAAAAACATCAAACGCAATCAGTGGCTTGTCACTGCAGCTGATACTATCACATTAATCAGTAATGATGTGCTTCATACTGCTGAACTGGAGAGGAAAAGCTTTGAATGACCATAGTCGGCTTCATATGATAACACTATAATCGTTCTCTATTATTCTTTGTGGTGGGTCAGTTAATTTTTTGTACCTGTTATCCACAATTTGCTGTCGGATCATCTTGACATACTCGAAGCTCTCCACACAGCAGATGTCATAGACCAGAATGTATGCGTTTGCGCTGCGAACTCCTCTACACCGCGAGTCCAGCCACTCCTAACAGAAACAAACAGATAAACACTGACACTTCAGATCATGATTGGTTAACTGCTTAATAGAGAAGATAAATATGTGCTTATTTGTGATGATACGAGGCCACTGTACTACAAATTTATAAAATAACAAACTTTTTGGTTGCAGATAAGTTGCATGGAATTAACTTAAAAATTAACTTAAACGTTAAAAATATACAAAGATTCTTTATACTGTATGTCATATAGTTGTTTGCAAATATGACCACAATAAAATGTTTACACCTAAAACATTTACCTGCTTCTTTCAATATAGTTCACAATCAATATCAAACAAAATCCCATTGAATTTCTCTTTGTTAAAGAGGTGGTCCACAGTGTATTTTTAAGGCTTGGTTGTGTTTATAAAATCAATGCAAAGGACATGATGCAAAGGACAAAAATCTTAACGAATAAAAATACAGTTTGTGGCTCACAATCTACAGCTTTGCCGGTTGGAGGAGCTTTTAGCCGAATACAGCACTGAACAGGGAGAGATTTTGGAAGCTGCCCGTTGTCAAATGCTAGCTATATCTTTTTTATAATTCTCTGGAACATAATTCAATAAATTCTGTAAGCATTTCTGTCTTTGTGTCCTGTTCTTTGGAAGCCCAAATACAGAAACAAAAGAAGCTCAAATAGCAGCACTTGGACAGCATTTTAACTTTCTCTGCTACAACATTACAGCGCCTCTGGCCACGCCCATTCGCTGTGCGGGGTGTATACGCATAACCTGAAGCGTTTGTGATCTCACTAGCCTGGATGAATTTATTTATATTCCTCAAACTTTGTTCGCTGTGGGCTTTGCTAAGCTAACTCTGTTAAAGTCAGTGTCTCCCTTTGCATTGAACTTTAAGCTTTTACATTTAGAAATGTTGTTTTTGTTTACACAGCTACTTTACACATCCACTAAAGTTTAAAATATGATATAACAGTGGACCACCCTTTTAAACATCAGATAATATATAAAACAGAAAAAAGTATTGCATTTATAAAATATAAACAAAGCAATAAATAAAATAAAGTAAATGCCAAGGATGGAAAGAAAGAAAGAAAGAAAGAAAGAAAGAAAGAAAGAAAGAAAGAAAGAAAGAAAGAAAGAAAGAAAGAAAGAAAGAAAGAAAGAAAGAAAGAAAAATGAAACATTCATTAATTAATCTAGTTTTTCTGTTGGTACTTACAAAGAAGGCTCATACAATTTAAGGCTTTTAATTGATTGAAAAGCATAAAAAAGTTAACTCGAATTACTTCCTTCAATAAATCGTTTCATTCCTACTTTAAAAAGGTACAATTAAAAACACAAATCACACTTTAATTAAGCAAAATCAAAATGATATGTCATGGAAACGATCCTAACCCAAGAGTAAAACAAGAGTACAAAACAACTGTAATTAATATATTCATTCATTGTTACCACTAATTTAATAAAATCTGATTAATGAGATCAGTCCTCTTGATAAGGTTCACAGAACAGAATGTGAAAAAAGCAGGAACAAAACATAAAAAAAAAGAAATTAGCACAATTAAATCCATTTCTTTGATCCACAGTTTGCTTTGTTGCTTTGTAATGCCATCTCTCTACTTCAAGGTATTTGCACAATGTGTCATTTACATGCAAGTATGTTATAGTGGCTAATCTCAACAGTTCAATAGAGTGCAGGAGAAATAAGCTTGCAGCCAATGAATAGTAATGATTTTGTGAATTACATGAGAGTGCTGAATAGAGGACAGCTGAAAGGGGCAGTGAGCACATTTCTCCAGCATTGACACACTGACCTCATCTCCTCTGCTCCTCTCAGACGAGCTCTCGTGATGTCAACTGAATATCAATTCCCATATTCATTTACACCGTCAAGTGTTGTACCATTTGTCATGTCAAACCATTTCTATTAATTGGTCAATGATATATCTGTTCTGCAGTTTAGAATCTACTTAATGCATATATACAAATGAGCAGAAAACAGACTAAAGGTCTCGATCCCAGAAAGAAGAAAAGAATGACAAAATATATTTAAAGAATGTTGATCATTGACTTCCATAGTATTTTTTTCCATATACCGTAGATTTAACAGATAATTCATATTCTAAATATATAATAATAATATCTATGATAATTAATATAATTAAAGATGAGTGGTGCAGTGGGTAGCACGATCGCCTCACAGCTAAAAGATCAGTGGTTCGAGCCTCGGGTCAGTTGGCATTTATGTGTGGAGTTTTCATGTTCTCCCCATGTTGACATCAGAGTACTCTGGTTTCCCCCACAATCCAAAGGCATGCACTACAGGTAAATTGAGTAAGCTAAATTGACAGTGTATGGGCTCTATTTTGACAATCCAGGTGCAAGCGATAAATCAATCAAACAAACAAACAAACAAACAGAAATTCAGATCTATAAACAACAAGCCTTTAAACTTTTCTTCAAATATTTTCTTTCTATTTTTGTCTTGATTTATATTTATCCCCATTCTAGTTTTATAGTATCATTCCAGATCAATCAGAAGTAAATGAATGATTTGTAGTCTGCGCTGAAATTCTGCTCTCAGGAATGAAAGCTCCTGTCGATTAAGGTCTAAACAACAAATTGCACTTTGATTGACTTATTACAAATATGACAAGTGGTATGGCAATGTGACAAGTGGCATCTTTTCTGAGAGCACCTTAACCCTGGTGAAAAAAAAAACAGACTTCACCACACACCAACCCAAAATACAATCAGTTCTGAGCGTGCCTCACACAGGTGAGTAGGTTTAACAAACAATCTGTAGAAAACGGACTCATTCATCTCACTGACACATTAACCGACACAAACACTGCATTTATGAAGTGTGCTTCGCACAGTGAGTGGGCTTGACAAACCACCTGTAGAAGCAATTTCTCTCTCTCTCTCTGTCACATCCGTCTGTGACCACCTGAGGGCGCTGTAGCGCTCTAGGACTTTGTAGGCGCTACAGTGCTCCAGGAAAAAACTACATTTTCATACATGCCCCGCGCACACACCGGAACACCTACACTGACCTGCCATCACATCTGTTTTGTGTTACCGTTGATTATCTGGACTATATATTCTACCATTCCATCTATGTTTGTCATCGCGTCGTTTGTCTTCCTTGTTCAAGTTTCCAGTAAGTCTTAGATTTCCAAGTTTGTATTTCTGATCCTGTTCTCGTATGTTTGCATTAGTCTAGTTCGTGTGTCATTTGTCTAATCTGTTTTCTAATTAGGTTTAGTTGTTTGAGTTTGTTTTTCCTGAGCCTCGTCTCTGATTTAGTTTCTGGTTTTGTTGTTTATTTGTTACTTTGTATTATCACCTTGTTGGCTGCACTGTAAATAAATAATCTGCACTTGGATCCGCACCTTTCTGTTTTTTGTTTATTGTTTTTGATCACGCTAAAACGTGACACTCTCTCTCTAAAAAAAAAAACTCTAGCACTGTTACTCTAGCATTAAATTCTCTGAACATCTTGTTTTGTGTTCAATAGAAAAAGAAAATCATACAGGTTTAGAAACACTAGAGTTTGAGTAAATGATGAGGAAATTTTCATGTTGGGGTGAATTATCTCTTTAACAACACTAACACTATACGAGCACATCCTCATAAAACAAACTCTAAATCAGAGATGCCCGAACTAGGGCCAATGGGCTAAAGCTGACCCATGGATAACATTTGATTTGGCCCTCCATCCCATCTGAGAAAAAAGAGAGAATGATGAGGATGGATTAGAATTGTCATTTTAAATTTAATGTAACTTTTTGTTTGTTTGTTTTATTGTTATGCTACAAAAAAGTTAATATAAATTAATAAATTTCTATTTAAATGGTGTGAATTATTCAGACTTAGTTTACAATATACATACTGTCACCTGACAGATAGGGGACTTTGACAAACAAATCAAGGGAAAGGCTCACCTGTGTTTAAAATGTGATTGTTTATGGTTTTATTGCAATAGTTATAATGACAAAAGTTATATTGCATTATTTAATACAATTCAAAGTGATGTTTTTTATTTATTTATTTTTTTTATATCAGGTAATGAAGTAGGATATTACACATGGCAACTGTAATGTAAAATAGTTTAGTATATTTATCTCCGGCCCATGGCTATATGATATTTGAATTTTGGCCCTTCATAAGAAATAGTTTGGGCACCCCTGCACTAAATAATTAGTGATCACACTAGATAGAGCTTGCATGTGTTGAAATTCCAGCAGATCCTGTTTAATTACCATATCGATCTGCATTTGTGTGTATCTTGGGGTCAGATAGAAGAAAAATCGAGTGAGTGGGGGAAGTCAAATTGAAGCCATTCGTCACAAGCTGATCTTGCTTGTAAAGAAAATCGATGTCAAGTGTAGCAAAGACTGTGGTTCCGCATTCATCTGAACAGGGGAATAATTACCTTCGTCCTCTAGCGACGTTAGAAAAACAGACTCCTGCTAATATTTCACACACAGATTCCGATGCAGCGCTGAGATTCACACTCGCACATTAATCTAATAATGAAAGCAATCAGGCTTGTAGATAAACACACCGCAATATTGTGGATCGCTATTGTATACAAACAGACAAGGGAGGAAGGGAAATTTAAAGAGACACTTCACCCCAAAAATTAACTTTTTTCAAGCCCTTCAAACGAACTTTCACTCATTTTTCCAAAACCACTTTTCAACGTCCTTGAACGATCATTTTTAGCATTCAAGACACAATCTTCCAGCTTCTGACGGATCTATAAATCCCCCCAAAAAGGAAGAGAGTTCATATGTGCGCATTTGGGTTTAAAACGGTCCTTAAGAAGTCTCCTTTTTTCCAGTCTCTTTTTGCTTCATTCTTCTTTTTCAATTTTCTGCACCTCAGAAGCAGAAAGCCTGACCCTTAATCTCCACTGGGAAATCTGACGCTTCTCAGACCTTATTAAGCCCAAAACTCAGCACTGGATGAGGTTCTGTGTGGTTCTAGCTCAGTAATCATTCATTGGTAGACAAAGC